CACTAGCTGCCCAGTTTAAAACATTATACAGATTTTCGATAATATCATTTACACATTCTGTATTAGAATTTAGAACCTGATTTATCATATTTACCCCCTTATTGGACATCATATTTTCTAGAAAGAAGTGACTCAATTTTAGAATCAGTCAATTTAGAACTATCATGTATGCTATCGGAAAGCATTTTGGCACAATTTTACTGAAAAGAAGATTTGTTTACTGCTCATGAATATTAATTTATGCAAATGATATTTCCACTAATTGAGTCATGCAACTTCGCCCTCTGCTACAAAGTCAGTTCTGTCAGAAGGCACACTGTTGCAGACAGGCAAACAATTGAATGTATAAATACAAAGAAACAGTTTCAGGTGATAGGAGATTATAAATAGTCTGGTTGTTGTTACACACTGTTAATGGTTATGGCAGAGCTATTAGTGTCACAGTAAGAACAGGTGAAAGTAACAGGAAACAAGTTTAAATTCTTAATTTCATAATGGAATCTGGTTTATAAAATCAATCAAATCAAAAAAAAAAACTAAAAAATAATTCCTTCCTGATGTATATCATATATGATTTGCATTACTCAATTGAAAAAAAGAATTATTTTGGCAGCCTGGTAAAGTGTTAAGACAGTATATAAGTAAAGCCTGTTTATAAATAGATAACAAGAGGTAGTTTATTTACCATTACTATTACATAACAGTGTTTGACTTTATTCACCATGGACAAATTTTTCATCTCTGCCTGAATCTAACCAGGGAACTATAAACCCCAGGAAGAACAACCACTTCGTTTCCTTTGAACTATGATAGTTGCCGCGATGTCGAATGTTTATTTTGACTGTTTATTTCGTCGCATTAAAAAATAAGCCGATTTACGCAAATGAACGTTTATCTCCGACTAACGGTCATTTTCGGAGTCAATCGGCGACTTCGGGAGATCACATGATCGAGTTGTTTCGGTTATAGCATAAAAAAACAATGGCGCCAAGACAAAAACACTGATAAATGAGCGACATTCAACGGGAAAAAAAACACATTGCCACTTCTGGCGATCAAAGGGAAACACGGAATAAGTCGGGATATCTCGACAACAGACAGTATACCAAACCCCATGTTTCGCAAACTTTCGCAACCTTATTTTTTCGAGGGTTGAAAAAAACAAGAAGTGATCTTAAAACGATATTGAAAATTATGAAAACTCGCTAAAACTCCGACCCGTTGCATGATTTCCGGTAATGTTGCTAAGTATTATCGTCAGGGAAAGCTATTGTTTAAGCTAGTCTGTGATTGGTTGCTGGCAATGTTTGAGGGATTTGAGGCCATCAACACAGACTCCTAAGCCTCCTGGAAAATGTTGTGATTTCTATGTACATGGAAAATTAACAATGTATTAAAAAAAAACATGCATTTCTTTGTATGCAGAAGTAACTACCACATGTTGTATGAATGGCAAAGCTTGATGCAGAAAAATCAAGTGGGATACGTATTTTTTTTACAAGAAGTGAATCTGACAAAAAACAATGACAACTGCAATGATAGCCGGATCAAAGAAACAAGTTTTAAAAAGTCTTACCTTCTGTGTTACGAAAAAAAAATACTGAAAGCTTCTGATTGTTGAAACCTCTATTCCCACGGTAAGACTGTGTGGCAGCTGGGAACCTGACCTTTAAATTTAATAACAAAACAAAACATATTATCGATATTGAACAATTTGGTGGATTATTTCATTTTGTAAGGGGGAGGTTGCTTGAAACCAAACAATATATTAGTGGGGGGGGGGCTGTTGAATAATTAATTTATTCATATATATCTAGTTTACTTTGGAGAATACCAAAAATAGTAAAACGAATAAATAGCTGTTTAAACATTTCAACTGAGATTAATATTGAATATTTGTGTTAAATTATGGCACGGAATAAAACTATATTCAGAATTGTTACAGTACTCATTTAAAAATCAGGAAACACACACTCAAATTTCAGTATTCACCTTAAAATGATGTGATTTGATGATATGCATTGTATTTAAAATACTTGCTTTCACCAGAGACCCTTTATGCTATCACTTGGATTGTTTGGAATCCAGCCAAATATGCGTACGCAGTATTAAAGTACTAGTACTTTGAATTAATCTGGGTTATTTGCGTAGGAAAAAAAATATCACCACACTCTCAGATTTTCAAGCTGTTCCTTTTTTTTAAATCTAATTTTTAACTTCGAATAATGCCCGGCATCACTGACCTAGGATACATAACGTCGGTACATAAGTGAGCACCGGAGACGCGCTTGGCTATATCAAAACAAAATATAAACAGCTGCATGCTATAGCCAGCTGGCGTCTCGTTACCTCGCTCTGTTTATTTTTAAACGTTATTCCGTCTAAACTCACCTTTTTTCTGTTACGTCTTCCTAAATTTACCCAAGTTGCTTGTCCGTTCTGTTGGTCACTTTAGTTGCAAATGAAATACGATAAAATTTACTTCTCTATTGTATTAGCATCTAAGAACCTTCGAGAGAGATCCAGAAAATTCATCAGCTGTGAGCTCATTCTTTGTTTACGGAAATGACATCATGTGACCTCGTTCGCAAAACACCAATTTAAATGCCCAAAAATATCCCACCACTTTATAGAAATCTTCAGTTAAAATGATTTGTTTAAAATTTATGATGTAAATATGTGTGTAATTAATTAAAAAAAATACATTTGTTATTTTTATAACGAGAAAAGTCCAAAAATATTTGGCCAAAATATTCAATTAGTTAATGGACGCCGATAAGGTCAGAGCATGGAGCTAAAATAAGAGCTCCATGGTCAGAATAAACTTTAAACAAATTTCCTGATTTAGTTATATTTCAAAGTTTATCGTGGTGAATTATTCATTTCTTTTATTGCATGCTGCTTATGAAATAGTTACATACGAAGAAATTACTCTTGAAAAGCTGCCATATTGTTGCTCATGACCGTGCTAAGCAGACATATTTCACAATATGTCGGTGTTGAGGTTAGTCAGTCTTCCCATGGTCTTCCTAAATAGTATCAAATATTTGTTCAAATTTTAACCATTTGGTTGTAGTATTCGCTCACAGGTACTAGCAACACTGTAATGTTATTGTTATATAGCCGTTTAAAATGATGCAATACTTTAGGATTTCACGTCTCGCCACGTTTTTAAGTTTTATAAAATCGATCGTACTTGTCACACTCACAGCGACTTGGCGATCTATTCGTTTGCTTCGTTGCTTGAGCGCATTTGCGGCGGAACGACTGTCCCGGTACAAGGTCTCATTCCGGGACATAATCGTCCCCCCCATGGACGTCCATGTATTGACTTCAGCAACCAACAACACGAATAGATCGTCAAGCCCCTGTGACTGTTATTTAAAATTATGTCTAAGACCAAATAAAAGGTGGAAGGTCACATATCTTCTATTAGAGACAAATCATACATATATGTATACTCTAAGAACAAACCGCCAATTTCAGTATTATTGTACTCGACCGCGGTAGCGCCCAGGGGACTTAACTCAGAAAAACATGATTTTTTAGGGGTGGGCGCTTACCCATCATTGATTTTTACAATGAAGAAACAGAAATGATCACAAACTATGCACATTTTATTACAATATTAATTACGTACCACCAGAATTTACGAAATTAAAAACATTAGAGTCTGTTGGAACACAGTCAAAGTAAAAATTCTCATCATTATCTATGCAAACTCTCAATGAAAATCACTTTCCGCCATGATGCATTTGCACATTTGACCTGCAACAGTGTCTATTGACCTAATGGGTTAAGTTGGTTATTAACCAATCAGAATGCTGTGTTGTACCAATGCAATTCTTCGGAAATTCCCGAAGACTTTCCGGTAACGCAATGCGAAGTGAATTATTGATGTCGAAGTATGATATGTTGGATTTGATTTCAGCGAATAAACGACATGGTTTTTTCAAAAAACTAGTAACTCGCCATTTTTGAGAGGTAAATTGAATATGGCTAGAAATATTTACCGCATTTTACTTGCATTAACAGGTCATTGTCGAAGCATAGTTTATGCATGGTTACCGTGGTCTACGCACTCACTACATATTCACAGCGGTCGATATCCGCGCTGTATCATACAAAAACAATTACCAAGATTCGTTACACAATCAAAGACCAAGTTTTAAATTAGTGGCATTTTGAAGGGGTGGGCGCTTTGCCGAATGTGACCCCGAATATAAAAATTGCGCAAAAGTGGGGGGTGAGCGCTTGGCCGGGCATGGGCGCTAACGCGGTTGAGTACGGTACTTTTCATATTGTTTAGTTAATATCTCACTATATATACTTTTGACTTTAATCGTACTGAATCATTTTTGACGACAAGTCAATATATAGACAATAATAATAATAATTTATTCGAAAATATCAACCAAAAACTAATTATAACAATTCAGGAAAAGGTAATCCCTATCAAAGTCGTTAAAAAAAAATTAAAACAACTGTGTTTCTGTAGCGCATAATCTTGCACATTTTACGCATTTTTATAAGCAAGTGGTGACAAGAAATCGACGATGATAATCATACAAATTCCACTTAGAAAAACAAACTCAGAACATATAGAAAGTTAAAATGCGTTTTATATAAGAGAGCTACCTAGATACCTTTCAAAACTATAAGCTTCATAATTCACATAAGTGTCCATTGCCTTAACATTAAAGTAGGGCGGGGCGACACAAATTGTTTTTAAACAACAGAACTTACCCCGGTACAACATGTGCAATCATTGAAGATGTATTTCATTTTTAATAGAATATCATCAATATAAAACCATCACAAAGAACTATTTACAATAAAACTAAAACTGTAATCTAACATTTTGACAGCAAACCAATGAACAATGTGCATTCAAGTGGC